TGAACCGCCGAACTGCAGAACTGCAGTCAGCTGAAGTGGCCTGCAGTACTGCACTCTACCCACTGCGCCACCTCGGCTGTAAGTGCATTTGCACACATGCACTTTGGGCACTTGGCAGCAAAAAAGATTAACCAACACTGCCCTAGGATAAAATAAAATGAACATCCAGGGAAATGTATGCAAAACTGCATATGTTGGAAGAAAATATAAGCACATACTGTACATGCAGAGAAACATGTCACAAAAAGCCCACAAATGTTCCTGCTAGCTTTTCAGCCCAATATTTGCACATTTGCACAGAAAGAGATTAGAAAGTACGTTTCAGAAAGTATGAAAGTTGAAGCTATCAGATGAGGCAGATTTACTCATGGCTGAGCACAGGGCAACACCAATTAATTTATTATGATATAAGCTTTGGCAAGCTAAGGTCTGTTTTATTTTTTGAAGCAGACTCTAATCTAGGAAAACATTCATATGCCTGGATACATTTGTCATTCAGCAATGGAATAAAGTGATGTGTAGGTGTGGATTGGAATGTCTGTTCCTGGAAAATTTAAAATGTTGTGGCTGAAATGAAGTTACTCTTCACCTTCTTGTAAATTTGATTCTTTGGCTGTTATGTAAAAGATAGCACAACTAATTAATTGGAAATTCAGAGAGAGCTCCTAGATTAACTCCTAGGTGAATCAGTAAACTGAACATTCTTCTTTGTTAACAAAATGTAGGAATTTGCTGAAGAATTTAAGCACATTCTCCCAACCTTCCCTTCCCTTGGGAAAAGCAAAGATAAGAGAATGTAGCATAAACCTCCCAACAATTAAAATGATTTTCAGTCTGTTTAGAAAAGTGATTATTCTCCCTTTCAAAAAACCCAGAAGAAAAAAAAGCAATTTAAGGCAGTCCTGGACATTTCTTTATTTCAGTAAATGATTAACTCATTTAAGGTCTAATTTCTGCAGAGTTTGATCAATGATTTCCAACACTGTTCTTCCCCGCCCCAAAGAATCCTGAAGGTGTTTACTCTTGAAAGAGTAGGACTCTTGAATGTTTGTCTCTGAGAATGTCAACTTTCCCGAGACAAGAGGCAATCAAAAGGATGTCCAAGGTTGTAATCATTACCATGGAAATGTTGACATACCAAACTGTTTTTTCAGCAAAATCTCTGGGTTGTGAAATTCTGCTTACCCTGGTGGAAGATGTAATCTCTTAAAGAAACAAACAGCGGCACTCAAGTGGTAGCTTTTGATTTGTACCATGTACAATGTGTCCGATAGTCCAGTTGCCTTAAATTAACCAATCTCAGCTCTTTGACTTCATCAAGTTGTTTTAGATACATGTAATTGCAAACCACACTTTATCTTCCACAGCAGAGTTGCAAGAGGGAGCGGGCTATTCTAAACAGGGCGGCTGGGCGCGATTCTGAGGATGCAATAAGAGCGGAAAAATGTGCACATTTT